CCCCAACCCCCCCCCCCCATCCACATCCCCCATGACTGAGGTGACCCAATCAGATTCTGATCTACCAACATCTCCACCAGAAACCTCAATGAAGTGGGATCAATGGACCCTGATAATTCGAGTGTGTTCCCTTCCCCGAGGCCGAGCTCCACCAGCCCAGACCTGCATGAGGCCAGACCTCCGGAGAAGGACTCACATTGCACAATCCTGGAAACCCGACACCAAACCTGATCGAGAAGGAAGAGTAAATCGGTGGTGGACTTACCTCGCCCATTGTTCTGGATGAACTGGATGACGCTGGCCACATCGTCGTCCTCGGGGTACATCTGGTAGCGCACGGTCAGATTGTTGAACTCCTCGAGGGCCAGGAAAACCCCTTCAATGATGAAGTAATGCGGCCGGTCGTCCTTCTTCACATCGTGGTAGACCAGAGCAGCCCGAGAGGTCCAGTTAAAGTGGTCATGGAGGTGGGACACGAATTCCCCGAGCTTGTTTGCCGTGGGGCCCGTCCTCACCGTTGTGTTGTACTGATCGTCGTCGGGTTTGAAGCCGAAAGCCAGGGCTCCGGCCGTGACAAGCGGGAGGCGCCAGTGGGTGGCAAAGCGGGCAACCGAGGCAGTGGGGTAGACGCATCCTGGACCGAAAAGTACGTCGGGGTTGTGGTAGAGCTTCAAGTCCACGGCATTGAGAGGCGCCACATATTCCGAGCAGGCCCCGTCCAGCTCCGAGGTCAGGAAGATTATTTTTATCTGGTACCCCGGGAGCAGCTGAAGTTCCTTCTGTGCCCGTTCCACTGCCATATGCAATGCCGGGGACACGCGGGGCCATGACCAAGCATAGCGCAGGTTGCTGTCAGGCAGGACCACGGCCAATGTCAACGTGCGGTTAGCGGTGGGAGTCTGATGGGAACACAGGGGAAGGCAGGACAGGAAAAGAAGGAGAAGGAAGGTAGGCAGAAAGCCGAGTCTTGGGACGGGACACTCCAGTATGGACATCGTCATCTGGGAGTTGGAGGGTCCAAGAACACGCGTCTCTAGGTCACGTATGTAGACGGGCCATACCCTCCACACACACA